TGTGTTGTTCAGCCAGTCTCACAACCCATGCCCCAGCTGATTTTTGGGCTTTTTTTGTCTGCTGAGAGGAGGAGGAGAGCTCGGCTGCCAGCAGGACCATCCTCCCCAGGCTTTGCTCTGTGTGCTCCGTGTGGTTCCACCTCGCTGTTGGTTTCACTCTCTCTAAAATCTGAATGTAAATGAGAAGAGAACTCCACCCCCAACCTGTCGTAGCTCCGTGGTTTAGAAGCACCGAGGGGTCGGGGCCGCCCCCCTCGGCTGCACCGTGTGTGGTTCATAGTCCTGTAATAAACAGTGCTCAGTGCAATGCCATCTGTGCCAGCTCAAAAACTATTAAAGATGTTATTTTTATGTCGCAGCGTGGTGAATAAAATGCCCTGAGCTGCCCTTGGAGCTGCTTCCCCAGCCTGGGGCGGGGAGAGGAGGGTGAAAAGTAGCTGAGATGGGGCTGGCAGGGAAAACGAGGCGGGTTTGGATCAGGATGGGTCAGAACTCGCTGTCGTGTGTCACAAGCTGTCCCCGCAGGAGCCCCTGGGTGGCGCTGCCCGCCCGGGCACGGGGCCCGAGCCCCAAAATCGCCCTGTGCCCACCTTGCTCAGGTGCTGAGACCCTCGGGGGGCTTGGGGGGCTCGGGGATGCGCTTTGCCCAGGACACCCCTCCAGGACACCTCTCTGGGGTTCTCCCGTGGCCATCAGGGACAGCCTGGGTGACTCTGACAGTGTTCACAGGGATCTTAGGTTGAGGGAAGAGATGAGGATCTGACTCCATGTTTCAGAAGGCTTGATTTATTATTTCATTATATATATTACATTAAAACTATACTAAAAGAATAGAAGAAAAGGTTTCATCAGAAGGCTGGCTAAGGATAGGATAGGATAGGATAGAATAGAATAGAATAGAATAGAATAGAATAGAATAGAATAGAATAGAATAGAATAGAATAGGAAAGAATGATAACAAAGGCTTGTGGCTCGGACAGAGAGTCTGAGCCAGCTGACTGTGATTGGCCATTAATTAGAAACAACCACATGAGACCAATCCCAGATGCACCTGTTGCATTCCACAGCAGCAGATAACCATTGTTTACATTATGTTCTTGAAGCTTCTCAGGAGGAAAAATCTTAAGGAAAGGATTTTAAATTAAAAGATATCTGTGACAGGTGACAGCCAGGGGACAGCCCGAGTGTGACAAACCTCTGGACAGGAGCACGGATCTGCGACAGCTTCTGCTCCTTCCCCAGCAGTTTCTTCTCCCACCCCTGCAGTTTCCATCTGACTTTTCTCATTGTGCACAGATTGTTTGCCCTGCTCCCCACGGCTCTGAGGAGCAGAGGGCGCTGCCCCGGGGCACATCCCGGGATGGGCAGGAGCGGGGATGCGGCATCGGTGGCACCGGGCACCTGTTGGGGGCACAGGGCTCAGACCACCCATCCCTTCAGCAGGGCTCACCCGGCAGATGGGAGCTGCTGGTCACTGGAGAGCAGCCAGAGGATGAAAGAGCTCTGAAAGAGCCCTGAAAGAATCCTGAAAGAATCCTCGGCCTCGGGATGAACCTCGGCCCCCGCCCCCGGCTGGGTTCGCGTCCAGCCCAGCCCCGGCAGAGGCAGCTCGGGCTCCCCGAACCATCCCTGCCTTGCAGGACTCTGCCACCCTCGTGATTTCCAGTGGCCAGCAGTGCTGGATGGCCCCAGCGGTCCCCAGAGGTCACCACAAGTCCCTTGGGTGGGGATGGACCAGGCTGATCCCCCAGAGCCTCGGCACTTCACATGTTCCGTGGTGAAAAACCTCCTGGGGGCTTGGAGCATGGCCATGGGCAGGTTTGGCTGATTCTAGGGAGAACAAACCCCTGATGGTTTATCCAGCACCCCTGATGGTGCTGGACAGGGTAATTTGCTGCTGCTCCTGGGAAATGATTCATCCTCACCCTTCGGGAAGCACCAGGGCCTAAAGAGCAGAGATGGGGAGCTGGGATCAGCTCCTTGCTGCTCCTGGTGGGAGCTGGGAGAGCCAGAGCAGCTCAGATTTGGCTGATTCTAGGGAGAATAAACCCGTTGATGGTGCTGGACAGGGTGATTTGCTGCTGCTTCTTCTTCTTCTTCATCTCCTGGGAAATGATTCATCCTCACCCTCAGGAAACACCAGGGCCCAAAGAGCAGAGATGAGGAGCTGGGGGTCAGCTCCCTGCTGCTCCTGGTGGGAGCTGGGACAGCCAGAGCAGCTCGGATCCCCCTGCAGCCCTTCAAAGTGGGAAGTGTGTTTATTTCTGGGAAAAACTTCCTGGGAGCTTGGGGCACTCCTGGGACCTTGGAGCACACCCATGGGCAGATTTGGCTGATTCTAGGGAGGATAAACCCGTTGATGGTGCTGGACAGGGTAATTTGCTGCTGCTCCTGGGAAATTATTCATCCTCACCCTTGGGGAAGCATCAGGGCCCAAAAAGCAGATGGGGAACTGGGAATCAGCTCCCTGCTGCTCCTGGTGGGAGCTGGGACAGCCAGAGCAGCTCGGATCCCCCTGCAGCCCTTCAAAGTGGGAAGTGTGTTTATTTCTGGGATATCGCCTTTCCGGCAGGAAGGACGGCCACTGCCAAGGTTTTTATTGGATCCCAGTGAAAGGAACTGAGAGAGTCTCGTGCTTGTTGTCTTTCCCTGTGCCTGCAGTTAAGGGGGATTTTTTACCTTCGAGTGGGAGGGAGGGAGGGACACAGGGATTTGGCATCCAGCACCGTGGAGATGGAGTTTCAAACCCTGCCTTGTCTCCTGGGCTGGAAGCATCAGGAGGGGTCAGGGCTGGAAAAGCAGGGAGAGGGGCTTGGAAGCACTTGAAAGAACCTGAAGTCTCAGGCTCAAAGCATGTGGAAAGTGTTGCTTGAGCGGGGCTGGGGCAGGGTATTCCACACGTCGCAGCTTGGACAAGGTTCTCACTGTTCTTGGAGGGAGTTTAGAGGCTGAAATCCTGAAGGGCAGGCACAGCAGCGTGATTGCTTCAGAGTGTCATGGATGCAATTCCAGTGCTGGGGCTCCTGCACACTCAGATTTCTTCATTTGGGGTTCATGCAGTGAAAGGAGGTGGCTGATCCCAGTACCCTGAGGAGTTTTGGGGTGTCCCTGTGTGGTGCTGTGCTGGGTGTGTGGTGAGAGACTCCTCTCCCTTGTGGGAATGCCCAGGGGGAGCAGCAGGCTCCAGCCTGGAGCTCATCCCCCCCAGGCCACTCCTGCTCTGGGCAGTGCTGGAAGGGGGCTTTGGGAGTGTCACAGACACCTTCTTATGGAAAACCCTTTCCTTAGCATTTTTTCCTCCTGAGAAGCTGGGAGGCCTCAGGAACAAAATGCAAACAATGGTTATCTGCTGCTGTGGAATGCAACAGGTGCATCTGTGATTGGTCTCATGGGGTTGTTTCTAATTAATGGCCAATCACAGTCAGCTGGCTCGGACAGAGAGCCACCAGGATCGTTGGTGCTGCACAGGACAACCTCGGGACAATCCCACCCTGTCCCTGAGACCCCTTGAGCCAGGGGTGTCCTGTGCCAGGGCTCCCTCCTGGGGCAGCGTCATTCCCCAGGCAAGGAAAATTCTGCTCAGTGGAAAAAAACGGGAAGAAAAAAAAAAACAACAAAAAACGGAAATACGTGGGACACCTCATTGTCTCTCAGCAGCAGGATGATGATGCCGCTCTCCAGGGCTCCACAGCTCATCCCTGGTGCCAAAGTGGGAGGTCTGCAGGGGTGGGAATGGCCATGGAAGAGCCCTTGAGGCCACAATCCTTGTCCCTGCCTGGGTGCCTGGGGCAGGAGCACATGTGGGAGCAGCCTGGGCTGTGAATTGAGCAGTTCTGGTGTGATCTGAGCAGTTCTGGTGTGATCTGAGCAGTTTTCTGGGTATGAGCTGAGCCGTTTTCTGCTCCCCGGCGCCCTATTCTGCCACGCCGGGTCCTAATTATTCAAAGAAAGGAGTAAATTTCTTTTCCCCTCCAGGAACTGTTGGTCCTGGAGAGAAACCGCATTCCCAGCGTCGTCTCGTCGTCCTTCCATGACCCTTCCCCTCCTCTCCCTCCTGGCACGGGGTCCCTCAGGCTTCACTGCCGCCTTTTGATCCCTTTTGATTCGGCGCTGCAGCGGGGAGAAGCCGAGCCCCGGGGCGGCCGGGAGGGCTGCGGGGACGTGGGAGGGAGGAACGGGAAGAAAAATATTGAACTTAGTGAGAAAAGCAGCGAAGCAAACAGGGAAGCCGAGGGGGGAAGCAGAGCGGAGGCTGGGAGGGGACAGGGCAGCGTGACCACGGAGTGAACTGAGAGAGCTTCTCCACAGGCTTTGGGACAGCACGGAACTCCTAAAAAACTCACAAAAAGAGCTCCTGGGTGGGGGGCACTGGGCTCTGCATCCCACTTGTGAACTTTGCTCTTCATGTCTTTCCTCTTAGGGCCCTTCCTTGTGTGTCAGCCCCTCACGAACACTCGTGGGGACTTTCAGTCTTTTGTCATTTTGCGCTTGGGGAAATCGTCCCCTGCCACATCCCTGCTCCGGTGCCTGCCCAGCTGTTCCCTCCACACTGCGCCCTGTGCTTGTCACAGCCGGGATGTCGCAGCGAGGTGGCCACAGGGACCCTGCGGGCTCTGAGCCACGCTGGGCGCGGGCTGGGAGCACCCGGAGCGCTCCGTGGGACCGGGGCATCGTCACCGCCGGTCCTGCGGGACCCCACGGGGCTCTGACCCACACCGGGCTCAGCTCTGCCCGGGCTGGGAGCACCCGGAGCGCTCCGGTGCTGCCGTGGGACCGGAGCATCGCCACTGCCGGTCCTGCGGGACCCCACGGGGCTCCCGCTCGGTGCCGTCGGCGGGGCCGGGGCGGGCCGGGGCGGGCCGGGGGAGGCGCCAGGGCCGGCGGCGGAGCGCGGAGAGCGAGCGGGGGAGGCGGCGCCGCCGGAGCCGCCCCGGGGATCGGGGCGGCGGCGGCGGCGGGCGCGGAGCCGGAGCCCGGAGCCGTGGCCCGGGGCCGGGGCCATGCGGAGGGCGGCGGCGTTGGTGCTGCTGGCGGCGGCGCTGAGCGGCCCCGGGGCCGGCGCTCGGAGCTGCCCCGCGCTCAGCCTGGGCTGTAAGTGCGCGGCCGAGCGGGCCAAGGCGGGCGGCGGCCCCGGAGCGCCCCGGAGGAGGGTGGTCTGCAGCGGAGCGGGGCTGCCCGCGCCGCCCGAGCCGCAGCTGCTGCCCGAGGGCACCGTCACGCTGTGAGTACCGCGAGCGGCAGCGGCCGGGCATCCCCTGTGCCCCGGGCATGTCCCTTGGGCATCTCCCCTATCCCCGGCATCTCCCCCGGGCACCTCCTCGGGCATCCCCTGTGCCCTGGGCATCTCCCCCGGGGCACCTCCCTGGGCATCTCTCCCGGGCATCCCCCCTATCCCCGGCATCTCCCCCGGGTATCTCCCCTGGGCATCTCCCCGCTGCCCCAGGGCACCCTGAGCGGGATAACAGCAGAGCCCACGCGTGGCTGGCGCTGAGCCCTCTCCGTGCCCGGCATCGCCCCGTGCCCGGCAGATGCTGCGGGGACTCGGGCAAAAATTCCTTTTTCCTCTCGGTGCACCCGCGGAAGGGTCGCTCGGTGCTGCGTGGAATGGTTTAATCGCGATAAAGGGTCGCTCTGTGCTGCGTGGTTTAAATCGCGATAAAAGGGTGTCGCGGCTCTGCGCTGCTGAGCTGGAAATGCAGGAAACGCGCTCCTTCTCCCTCCGCAGCGTTCTGCGTGCTGGGGAGCATGTTTTTGTTTGAAAGTCCCTGGAAATATTTCCTGCGAGGCCATCGGGAGCGGTTCATGGCTCTGGCTTTGCCGCTCCATCCCCAAAGGCTCCTCTCTCTCTCCGTGCCGGGGGCTGGGGTTCGGCTGGAGCTGGCAGCCGTGTGCTGCTCGCTGCAGGGTTTATTTATAACTCCAGAGGAGATGTTTGAATTAAAATCTGGATTGGAGGCTGGGCTGGCGGCTCTGCAGCTGGGGGGAGCGTGGCTTTTCCCCAGGCTGTGCTGCAGCCTCGCCCTCCTGCCTGGGGCTGGGGTGGGTGGGACAGAATTGGGTCTGGGGGTGCCTCACATGCCCGAACTCATGGGCTGTGTTGGCATTGCTGTGGTTTTTTGGGTGCTGCTCGCTGCTTTGGGGTGATGGTGGCGCTGAAAGTGACCCCAGTGGCGCCACTGTCCCCACTGGAGTGTGGCTGTGAAGGCACCAGAGCCACAGATGGTGCCGCGAGCAGGGCCTGAGCGCAGCAGCCACACCAAAAGCAGAAATTGTCCCAGAACAGCAGCGCTGATGGGTGTCCTGGGCTTCCCGTGGTGGGGGACACTGGGGGGCTCAGCCAGGTGACACTGGGCTCTCCAGCCCATTTGTGAGCTTTGCTCTTCGTGTTTTTCCTCTTAGGGCCCTTCCTTGTGCGTCAGCCCCCTGCAAACACTCATGGGGGTTCAATCCTTTATCAGTTTGATTTGGGGAAATCATCCCCATGCCACATCCCTGCTCCCAGCTGTTCCCAGCTGTGCAGGGGGCTGTGCTGAGCTCTGGAGGGGCTGGGATGACCGTGCAGAGGCATTAGGGCATTACACGATCCCACTAAAACGTGACATGAAACCTACAGGCGTAGGCAGAAACCTACAAATATGCGGTGACCCTGGCTCTGCTCTCGTGCAGTAAACATGATTTATTCCAAACCCTTTCCAGATGCAGCAATCAAAACCAGAGGCTCCGACGTTGGGAGCGTCTCCTGGAGCCACTGGGGTGCGGGCAGGGAGTGGAGGGGCCCAGGCATGTGGCGAGGGCTGCACGTGCCTTGGGACAGCCTGCTGGGGACGGGCAAATCTTGAATTCTGAGGGTGAGCTGGGTGTGAGCAGGGCTCCTACGTGTGCTCCAGGGTGCCAGGTCCTGTCGGTGCCATGTCCTCTCTGTCCCCAGGGTTCCAGGTCCCCTCTGTCCCCAGGGTGCTCAGCACTGCTGTTGTCCCTGCTTCAGGAAATATGTTTGTGGCAGTGACACAAATCTTGAATTTTGGGGATGAGCTGGGTGTGAGCAAGGATCCTGTGTGTGCTCCAGAGTGCCAGGTCCTGTTTGTGCCAGGTCCCCTCTGTCCCCGGGGTGCTCGAGTCCCCTCTGTCCCCAGGCTGTTCAGATCCCCTCTGTCCCCCAGGGTTCAGGGTCCTCTCTGTCCCTCAGGATGCTCAGGTCCCCTTTGTCCCCTCTGTCCCCAGAGTTCCAGGTCCTGTCTGTGCCAGGTCCCCTCTATCCCCCAGAGTTCCAGGTCCCCTCTCTCCCAGGGTGCTCAGGTCCTCTCTGTCCCCCAGGATGCTCAGGTCCCCCTCTGTCCCCAGGGTTCCAGATCCCCTCTGTCCCCCAGGGTTCAGGGTCCCCTCTGTCCCCAGGGTTCCAGGTCCCCTCTGTCCTCCAGGATTCTCAGATCCCCTCTGTCCCCTCTGTCCCCAGGGTTCAGGGTCCCCTCTGTCCCCTCTGTCCCCAGGGCTCTCAGCGCTGCTGTTGTCCCCGCTGCAGGAAATGTGTTTGTGGCAGCGTCACTTCAAAGCAGAGCCGAGCTCCAGCTCTCATCCGGCCCAGCCTGGAGCCAGGAGCGCTCAGCACGGGGGAGGCTCCTCCCCGCAGGGCAGGGAGGGACGCTGGCCCTGCCCGTGTCCAGCTGTCCACGCTGGGGACAGACAGACACACGGACAGAGAGGCCTGGGTGGCTGCGGGAGGTTCTGTCACCCTGTGGCTCCCTGGCCCTGCCTCCCATTTGGCGTTTCCCACATTCTCTCTTTATTTATCTTTAATTATCAGCCTGTGCTGCAGCTGCTGCGCGTTTACCCCCGTTGAGGAGGGGCAGGGCAGGGCTGGGGCACCAGGGACAGGGGGTGGGGGATCCCTGTGCCCCCAGGGACCTGCCCTGGGCTCAGCATGGCCCTGGTGTCCCAGGAACGGCTGCGAGCTGAGCTGTGGCTCCTCTGCCCTCATAGGGATCTGCAGGGAAGGCTGTGGGGTCCCCTGTGGGATGCAGATTCCCTCTGGGGGCTCTGGGATCCCCTCTGGGGTGCAAAATTCCCCTCTGGGATGCTGTGGGGTCCCCTGTGTGATGCTGTGGTGTCCCCTGTGGGGTGCAAGGTTCCCTCTGGGATGCTGTGGGGCTCCTTCTGGGGTGCAAGGCTCTTTCTGGGGTGCTGTGGTGTCCCCTCTGGGGTCCCCTCTGGGATGCTGTGGGGTTCTCTCTAGGGTAAATGGTTCCCTCTGGAATGCAAGGTTCCTTCTGGGATGCTGTGGGGTTCCCTTTGGGGCTGTGGGGTCCCCTCTGGGATGCTGTGGGGTTCCCTTTGGGATGCAAGGTTCCCTTGGCTCTGGGGAGGGGGTGATGCTCACACATCCCCAGCAGAGGATTCTCTGTGCATGCTCTCCATCACCCACCCCATTTTACCCCCATTTCACACCCAGGTTGTGCCCAGCTCCCTGCAGGGATGAAGGAGGGGTGCCAGCCTTGCTGCTCTGTCACCCGGCTGCGTTGGCAGCCCCAGGGGGATTTGGCACCTCTGGGCCGTGCCTGGGAGGTGCAGGGGCGCTGCAAACCGGGATTAAGGGGATTTAATCCCCCGCAATGAGCCCGTGCCGATCGCCCCATGGAAAAAGCGCCACCTCCCCAACGAGGGCTGGGCCGGCCCCGCTGTCACACGGGCGGGAGCCCAAACCTCTTCCAGATGTGGAATCCCAGCCCTGGCCTCATTTATGTGCACAGCTTGATTGCGCCGAAATTACAGATTGTCTGCAGGGAATAGAGGGCTTTGACTTATGACCAATTTCCAGTTCTACTTGAACTCCCTGCTCCGAGGCTGCTCCATCCCGGGCCCTGCACATGGTTTCCTTCTCAAAGCTTCTTCAGCTTTTTATTTGTTGTTTCTTGGGGCTGCAGCTCCGTCGGGTTTGGGTTTTGCAGGGTCGTGGTGCTGCCCTGAGCATCCCAGCCCAGGCTGGCTCGGCAGGCTCTGCCCTCTCTCCGGGGCTCCTTTTTCCTGTGCTAACAAAAGCCGAGGCTTGGAACAATAATTGTCACCATCCGAAATAGCCCGGAGTGACGCGAGGCTGCAGGAAACGCCCGGGCACGGCGCGGGGAGGGGAAAGAGCCCCCGAGCACCCAAACAGAGCAGGGAGGGAGGGCAGGATCACCCCGGGCTGGGCTTCTGCAGCCCCAGAGGGTGGGAAGGTGTGGGGTCCCCTCTGGGGCCTGTGGGGTCCCCTCTGGAGTGCAAAGTTCCCTCTGGGATGCTCTGGGGTCCCCTCTGGGATGCTCTGGGGTCCCCTCTGGGATGCAAGGCTCCTTCTTGGTGGCTGTGGGATCCTCTCTGGGATGCTGTTGGGTCGCTTTTGGGATACAAGGTCCCCTCTGGGATCCCCTCTGGGGGCTGTGGGGTCCCCTCTGGGATGCTCTGGGGTTCCCTTTGGGATGCAAGGATCCTTCTTGGGGGCTGTGGGGTCCCCTCTGGGATCCAAGGTTCCCTCTGGGATGCTCTGGGGTTCCCTCTGAGATTCTGTGGGGTCCCCTTTGAGGGCTGTGGGGTCCCCTCTGGGATGTAAGGCTCCTTCTGGGCGCTGTGGGCTCCTTGCTGGAATGTGGGTTCCCTTTGAGATGTTGAGGGCCCCTCTGGGATGCTCTGGGGTCCCCTCTGGGATGTAAGGCTCCTTCTGGGCGCTGTGGGCTCCTTGCTGGAATGTGGGTTCCCTTTGAGATGTTAAGGGTCCCTCAGGGATGCTCTGGGGTCCCCTCTGGGGGCTGTGGGGTCCCCTTTGGGACGCTGTGGGCTCCTTGCTGCAATGTGATTCCCCTTGGGATGTTGAGGGCCCCTCTGGGATGTTCTGGGGTCCCCTCTGGGATGCAAGGCTCCTTCTTGGTGGCTGTGGGGTCCTCTCTGGGATGCTGTGGGGTCCCTTTTGGGATACAAAGTCCCCCCTGGGATCCTCTGGGGTTCCCTCTGGGATGCAAGGCTCCTTTTGGGTGCTGTGGGCTCCTTGCTGGAATGTGGGTTCCCCCGGGATGTTGAGGGCCCCTCTGGGATGCTCTGGGGTCCCTCTTGGGATCCAAGGCTCCTTCTGGGTGCTGTGGGCTCCTTGCTGGACTATGGTTCCCCCCTGGATGTTGAGACCCCCTCTGGGACGCTGCAGAGCCCCCCTGGGATTCCGTGGGGTCCCCTCTGGGTGCTGTGGGGTCCTTGCTGCAA